ATTCAGGACCCTTGGAGTGAAGCGGGCCAGGCACTGCTGCCTTTCACAGTGCTCATGGTTTACTCTTTCACGTAAGATTTGCTCGCCAGTACCCCATTAGCTGAAGAGCCAGTAAAACATTTTATCATCGTTTCTGTGTAGCTCCACTCATGTAGCTGAGTTCTCCTGCTCTCTTGATTTTTGTATATGCATATTTCCAGATGTCTCTGGTGTCTTCTTTAAATTAGGTAGTAATTTGATAAAAACAATTAGCCCAGTGCAGATAAGGTTAATCTGGGTAAAGGCTGCCTAATTGCCCTGCAGCAGAGGACGTAACCCCAGTGTTGGGATTTCCTCACAACAACTAGTGGGTACACGTGGGAGTTGAGCTGGCTGTTGGGATACAGGTGCCACCATCTCAGGGAAACTGAGCAAGTTCTCAGCTCTCAGCTTTACCCTGATCTCGTGCAGCAGGACAGCAAGGTGCCTTTACCTTGTTGGAAAATGACTCAGAGACAGAAGCATTTCAAAAAGGAAAACTTTACCTTCAAGGAAAATGAGAGCAGGCCTGTCTTGCCAAGTAAAACTACCACAATATTCAAAGAAAAAAAATCAAGAAGTGCTAAGATTTCTGAGTTTGTGTTCATCTGTTCATGATGGAGAGACAGCAAGTGCCTCACACGATCATCAAGCTCATGAAGGTCATAACAGATGCCACACGCAGTACGGCAAAAACCATGGCCAAAATTGCTTCTGCCAGGGAGCCAGGTTTTTGGGGTTTTTTTTTTTACTGTTTTTATTTTGTTTTCCATAATTTTATTGATAAACAAATAGCAACGAGACAGTTTCAAATCAAATTGGTAGGACAGGGGAGCCAGGTTTTATGGGAAATGTTCAAGGTTGCTTAGATGACAATCAGGGAGATGACTCTACAATTTTCGTTTTATCTTGGGGTGCAAAGTGACTTTTGTCCTCACTGTGATATGGGAAGTACACAGTGATAGTGCAGTGGGGCAAAGTGACATTTTGATTAAGCAGAATCCATAAGGTTCAGGAGAAATGTGGAAAAAGGTAATTTCAAGATATGTTCTTGTTCTATGTAGGTGATAAGCCTTTG